CACTTCATTCATGGCAGTAAAATGAACTTTTTTCATACCGGGGTACAATAAGTTATCAGATCTACGATGTGTGAGTTACCATGCTATTCCAATAAGCTTACGAGGTGGATATTTCATCAACTCCCCCCCCCCTCCCAATCGCCAAAGTTACCAGGAGGTACATAAATTATCAGGTCTGTGATGTGTGAGTTACCATGCTATATACACACACAAAATCGATTTCATCACCCCACCCCCCCTCCATCTCGCCAAAATTACCTCAATGTCATCAACTTGAGACTAGTTGGTAAAAATAATCTACTTAATTGCGGAAAAGATCGGACATTGCAGTAACTTTTGTGCAAACCTAGAAGAGGAGACATGTTAAATAGCCTATTTACTTTCATTTGTTCAAGAAGAGGGAACGTACGTGAGGTGGTTGGCTAGTAGAGTTATCTCATAAGAGGTACAAGTGCCGATAAGTCATCGGACTATAAAAGAATAAGAAAACAAATGCCAAAATGGTAAGAAAAAATAGTGTAAAAAGGAAAAGAAAGGAAAAGGTTTATTTTTCACCTCGCGTTATAGACATGTACAAAAGCTTGCTGACCTACTTGTAAACACAAGCTAATTGTAGGCCAGTTGGTTACCTACCTTAGTTATATACCAGGAGGTGTGGGGATCTACTCCTGCTTCCTCCAAATTTTTATTTTACCGTGCCAAAAAAATGCGGGAATCGTGCGGATCTATTCTTAACGTCCAGTCGACTATAATTTAGCTTTCTCGTTCGGTTAATGAAAAGGGATTATGCCTGGTTAAAAAAAAGATGTTCTAACAACGTTCGATCAGCGTGTACAGTTTGGATCGGCACGTTGGAGTTGCACTAAGGGTCTTTTTTTTCGAGGGTACGCAACTTGCATACCTTAGCTTTATAGAAGAAGAGAAATGAGACATACAACAACGTCAACCACTCGCTGCGAACAACAAAGGCGACCCACTCCGCATCCGGATCGTACAAGTACAACCCAACACAACAACACGACAACACAACAATGACACAAAAGCCTACCCTACACCGAACCCTTTGCCGCGTCTCGGCCGACACTGAAGACCTCCGAAGAACAGCAACTCCAGCTTCCTTGGATAAGCCGGCGACGACCGTACATGGCGCCGAAGGAGAAAGACCCGGGCAACGGTGAACGCCGGAGGAGCGCATCATGGGACCTCGAGTCTCCCAGCACAATGCTCCCAACAGAGTAACAACCTCAAGGACGTTGCCATCATGCCAATCCTACGAATCAAGGCTTTCCCCCCGGAGACAGCTACTGATACGAGGTCGCGAGGAAGATGGCGTTGCACTCGGCGAAGCCTCCAGGAAGGTGAATGACACCCGTAGGTGCCATCAACGCCGGTCCGGCCACAACCGAACAAGATTTTCATCTGTAGCACCGCACATCTCCACGTCTCCAAGATCCCGGCCAGTCCCGATCAGATGCCTCACAACGCCGTCACCGCAACAACTTGCCATCGAAGCCCCCCTCACTGCCGAGGGAACACGCCTAAAGCCATCACCTTCAACCTCGACTAGGAACCGCAGCAACCACCGAGCGGTGCACAACCAGTTCCGCCACAGTGGCCTTCACCCGCGCCAGGGGACTGCCACCAGAATGGAACCGACCCGCACCTCCGACCACACTCCGGCACCCACACCGCCGAGGCATCGCCGCACGCCTCACACGGCAGCAGTCGAACGCCCGCTGCCCGCCAAGACCCTTCCTAGCCAGGCCTCGCAGCGCCGCCGCCGCCATGGCTGCGCTCGCACCGCCGCCGTCGCCGGTGTCGATGTACCACCAGCACCCTCCATCCTGCTACGCCCCACGTAAGGCTTCCGGGACAACCGTCGCACTCCCTGCCGTGAGCACCCCAAGGACGCCTGCCAGCGCCGACGCAGACCAGATCCGGGCCGAGATCCCCGGACCCGCGCTCCGGGCGCCGCTAGCCTACGCCACGGACCCGCCCCTAGCCAACCACCGCCGGGGGCGAGTCGCCGCGGCACCACCAGTCCCTGCTCCGCCAGCTCCCGGAGGACCGACCGCTGCCCGCCGCCGCGCACCGCATCCCCCGAGCAGCGCCCAGCTCCAACCTCCGAACGCCGCCGTCCGTGGCCGCCAGATCCGGCCGGACCACGCCAGGCCGCGCCATCCCGGAGCAGCTCCCCGCTCCAACCAGAACCGTTGGACCACGCCGACACAGGCGAGACACGCACCGCCGCCAATTTGCCTGACCCCAAGAGGAAGGGCGTCCCGCGCCGCCGGAGAGCCTCGAGGGTAGGGGGACCCCGCCGCCGCCGACGCGCGCACGGGCTTTGCCCGGCGGCGTCCGCTGGCGGCGGCGAGGGAGGAGAGGGGAGGTGAGGGGTGGCGGCGGCGGGGATTGGGGTTCCGCCCGGGCCGCTCGCGGGAGCGGCACGGGGGACGGGGGAACCTACTAAGGGTCATTTTTATTGTATGCGGATGTAGATGTTCTAAACAGCGTCCGATCGGCCGCGTGGCATTTAATTCCGAGCTTGCACCCGAAGCAAAACTGGTCGGCGGGGAATCTCGGCAACACTAGCCTGCGAGGTTTCCGCCGAGCTGCCGGAGGGTGCGAGCGGCACACACATAACTGACACAACTCTCCTACTGGAAGAAGCCAGCACTTAGGCCGCAGCCACTTGATCAAAATAAGCAACGGTAGACCCGGCCACGCAAGGCCACCGCAAGGCAAGTGGGGCGCCGTCACTTCCATAAACCCCCCCAGGGCAGAGGGGTGCCGTTCTACTACAGGTTGCTTGTGGTGCTCGTGCGGCCGCGCCGACTGTGAGTCGAGTCGTGACTCAGGCTTTCACTGTCTCCCGATTCAACCGCACGTGCCACATCAGTCAGCTCACATGTCTAAATCAAACCGATACTTGAGCATACTTCCCTGGGCATTTGTGTTGAAAGAAGAATGTGAGGTATCAGCGTCAAGGACTCCGTGGCGCAATGGATAAGGCGCTGGTCTACGAAACCAGAGATTCTGGGTTCGATCCCCAGCGGAGTCGAAGTTTTTTGTTTTCTTTCTATCACTTTTTTTTAAAAAAACCGACACACCTTGAGTCGATGTTTTTTGGTTTTCTATCACTTTTTTCCTAAACCTACATGCCACCTTTTCTTCTAGTATCATCAAATACTTCCTTGAATTACTTAACTCAAAAAAAAAAAAGAAAACAAAAAAACTTCCTTCACTGTGGTGATACAGATCGCATCCGTTGTCAATATTATGCCATTGCTGCGCGCTGCTCTGCCCAAAAATATTACTCAATTGTCTGTCGGTTGCTGTAAGCATGTGCAGGAAACGATATGCACTACTCCCTTGGACCCAAAATGTAAAACCATTTTTGACACTCTAAAAAGGCCACATGGCCCTGCTTTTTTTTAATAGAAAAGGCAGCAAGGAAACGATATACTGTTACAAAGCCCAAGTCAACTAATCAAGGATTTTTTGTGATAATCGCTGCTCCGGGCCACCACCCGAAGAACGGCGAGGTTTCCCTTCTCTTCGGATCAGCCATTCTATCTCCTCACTCATGGAGGAGGCCGCAGGACAAGGCTTTCCTCTGTATTTTGTGGATCGCGGCAGAACTACGGCAAGGCCGATGAACCACGCCGCGCAGTCGTTTTCATCGCGTCGATGATGCCACGCCGCTGCAAAGGGAGGGGGGAGAAGGGTGTCATCATGTTAAGTCAAACTGCACACAACAATCCTTGAGGGGAGGGGACTCGGATGTCATGGCATGAAACCAGGATGTAACATTTCAGGGAAGGATGTTGCTTACAGTCATGCTAGGCGCGGCACAACTCCCCACGGGAGTCCCTTCGAGCGACGGTCGTTTCAGCGGCACCGGTATGCCGTGCAATGATGCAATCTTGCACTTGGTACTGGTCAATTATCGCATGACCGGAGGATATGGCATGGATACTGTGTCCACTAATTTGTCAGGAGTATCCTTGGCAGTTGGGGTCAAACAGAATCCTCAACAGCCTACATGCAGGAAATCAGAGCTTCAGTACTTAATATAAAAGATGCCATGGATTCATGGTGTGCCAAATAAATAAACCTATCATAAACATGCATTCATAGTTTTCCATTCCAAATAACTAACAGCACTGTTTTTTGTAAAATAATGCAACCGAAAATTGGCATGTAGCATCTACATTTCAATATCATCTAGAAGAACCAGTCAATTATATATAGCCTATGTACGAACCATGCGGAAGGAATATACTTACTTTAGCAGCAAATCATCGGTTGATCAGGATCAACAAATTCATCCCTCCGATACTGCGGTTGCTTTCTGCAGGAACAAATTTGTTCATCAAGTATCCATAAAAAACACTGTTTCATAACAAAGGGCCATAGAACAGTCTAGCCTACATAGTTAACATAAAGGAATTAATTATGGTTGCTAGTGATCACCAGTTTGAAGTGCACTAAGTTTGTTGAAGTACCAATAATGATCGGAATACAAATGAAAGATGGAGATCACAAAAACTCACAAATGGTACAGCCTCACACATCAAATTCATAGGATTATGAATCACGACATACTTCTACCAGAAAGCTATTGTGCATATTTCCAAAATAAGCAAGCTAGATACTCCATGTATGTGAACACCAAACAATTTAATAGGGGCAGACATGTTATATGTTGACAAGAGAAAACAATATCACCAAACTATAGACAACATAAATTAACAGCATTCAAACATGAGCAGTTGAGCAAAAATACCAAATGAGAAGATTTATGTAGAACTTGTCTTTTATGTGCATTCACAGCCTAAAATACAGTTGCACGCGATATAAATACTGCACCACCAAAAAAAGTATTCATATCCATCATTTTTTGGTTGAGAGGTTAAACAAAATGAACTTCCAGGAAAGTTTGCTCAATTTACCTTACTCTCAGTCTTGAGATGTATGTCATACTGGAGTTGCAAATTCTAGTAAGAGGGCGGCCTGAGTTCCTTTAGTCGCCGAACAACTTGCTTCATTGTGGGCCTAGAAGAAAGAGAGTCCACAGTACACTTGATACCGAGGTGCAGAATCTCAACCAAGTCATCATGCGGAGCCACATCCCACAGCCCTTCTATGAAGAACTCACGAGCTCGGCCCTTCTGCAAAAGCATGCAAGCCCAGGCAACTATGTTGAATCCATTTCCATACGGAGAAAAGGAAGGGTCCAGTGCTTTTTTGTCTGAAATAAGTTCAAGCAGCACAACACCATAGCTGTACACATCAGCCTTATCAGAAACACGGCAAGTCATCGCATACTCTGGAGCAACATACCCAAAAGTACCCGCGACACCGGTGGTTGCATGAGTTTCTGAATTCCCAAGTAGTCTTGCTAATCCAAAATCAGAAAGGTATGCAGTGTACTCATTGTCGAGCAAGATGTTGCTTGGCTTCACATCCCGGTGCAGAATACGTGGGACACAATTATCATGAAGATATGCAAGTGCACGTGCAACATCTAGAGCAATTTTGTGAAGCATTCTCCAATCAATTGTTCTCTTTGTCCTTTCCTGTATGAACCTTTCCAAGTTACCGCCGGGCAGAAAATTGTATATTAGAAACATCTCTGAATCACTGAGGTGGTACCCTATGAGTGTTACAAGATTGTCATGCCGACACCTTCCAAGAGTTTTCACCTCTGCTTGGAACTGCTGAATACCTTGGAACCTTCCAATAGCCAGCCGCTTTATTGCCACCAGAATGCCTGGTGCAATCTCAGCTTTGTATGTTGCTCCAAAGCCACCACTTCCAATGCAATTGCTTGCATTAAAACTGCCAGCAGCGCGTACAACGGTCTCATATGTCAAAGGAGCACCAATATCCACAAAAACAGTAACTTCCCTTCTCCTGTTAGAACGCCTTGATGGTCTTGATGCACATTTACGAGTGTAAATGTAAAGGATGATCAGGGCCAAGAGAACTGCAACAATCGCTGATGCTGAGGTTATTGAGGCAATCTCTATTTTGGTGAAGCCTCCGCCATCGCTGGATGTATTCTCAGGTTCTGGACTAGCCTCATTCTCACTGAGTGCTCGCACATTCGAATGCAATGGCCCAGCCAAGTTATTGAATGAAATGTTAAAAACAGACAGTGATACTGGGGTAAGGTCGGCAATGTTTCCAGAGAGCTCATTATTGTTCAGCAGAAGTGTCGTGAGACCTCTCAGTGTCACAATATTACTAGGGACATTCCCAGACAGAGAATTGGATGAGAGATCTAAAATCTCCAGTGATTCCAACTGCCCCAAAGAGGACGGTATCTGACCAGTGATATTGTTTGCAGCTAACGAGAGAAATTTCAAGCTCTTGAGGTCTTTGAAACTGGCAGGTATTTGACCAACCAGAAAGTTTTTGCTGATGTCCATCTTTACAAGAGCACCCAACAAACCAATGTTAGCAGGCAACACTCCTGAAATTTGATTCTCGGCTAGAACCAAAACTCTGATGGCATGGCATTTTGAGCAGATTTCTTCTGTGAGCTCACCAGATATCTTGTTGTCTCGGAAGCTGACGATCAAACCATTTAAGTTGCTGCACTGTTCCAACAGAATTGCATCCAATGATCCTGTGAAGTTATTGTGATCAAGAGTTAATGCATGCAAGGTCCTGTTTCCATATCTGTCTGCACTAACTGGCAAGGATGTAAGACGGCCTCCAAACTTGTTCTTTGCAAAATTATGGTATACAACCGAACACTCTCCTGATTCACAGTAACCCAATGATAGTTGTGCTACAGCTTGGGACATGAAGGGTGAAGAATAGCCAGATGTCACGCCATCCAACGGTTGCTGTGATGCACATTCTTTGTTCGCAAACGCTGGAATTGAGCCTGACAGTTCATTGCCACTGACATCAAACACATCCATACAATGCAGATGAAGATTTTTATCAAGCGAACCGGACAATCTATTGGAACTGAGGTTGAGAAACTTGAGGTTTCTACACTGCCCTAGCTCCCTCGGAATCACTCCAGCAAGTAAATTACCTCCGAGATTAACCATCTCCAAACTATGGCAGCTTCCCCAATTGCTTGGGAGATTTCCTTTCAGGCCCGCCTTCGGCGCCCATAACAACCTAAGCTTTGGCAAAGCTGTCACGCTCTCCGGAAGCTCTCCCTCAAAGAGATTGAACTCATGGGGTTTCACTGCATCAAACTGGCTCGACAACACGAGAACCGACAAACCTGAGCAGTTCCCTAGCTCCCTGGGTACCAGACCGCTCAATCTGTTACCCGATACGTCCAAAACCCGCAGCTTGCTCAGCCGTCCAAGCTCTGGTGGGATGGAACCGTCCAACATATTGGAGAAGAGGCGCAACGAGCGGAGCTGTGTGCAGCTCCCCAGAGCAGAGGGGATGCTCCCGGCAAGAAGGTTCCGGGACAGGTCGAGCTGCCTCAGCCTGGGGAGGCCGCCGACGACCGCCGGCACGGACCCGTTGAGCCGGTTGCCGGAAAGATCCAAGAAGTTCAACTCCGTGCAGCTGCAGAGGGAGGCAGGGATCTCGCCGCTGAGCGCGTTGGAGGAGAGGTTGAGCACCCTCAGCCGCGGCGGGAAGGCGGGCGGGAGGGCGCCCCGGAGCGAGTTCCCGGCGAGGTTGACCCCCTCGAGCTTCTCCAGCCGCCAGATCTCCGCGGGGATCTCGCCGAAAAGGCCCAAGGAGGGCAAGGAGAGCTGCTTGAGCTCGGTGAGGAGCCCGACCGACGTGGGCAGCTGGCCGGCGATCCCGCTCCCGCGCGGGAAGCTGGAGGGCACGTGGAGGGCGACGACCCGGGACCTCGCATCGCAGGCGACCCCCGGCCAGGAGCAGTGGTCCGCGCCCGACGGCCACCGGCGGAGCAGCTCGGAGGAGGGGACGGCGTCCCTGAGCCGGAGAAGCGCCGATCTGTCCTGCTCCTGGCCACGGTTCGACGAGGAGGCGGCGAGCAGCGGGAGCAGGAGCAGGAGCAGCAGGACGGCGGCGGTGCTCCGGCGAGCGGCCACCATCTCCGCCCAGCCGAAGGCGAGGGACGGCCCGGGGGTGCTGCGGTTGGTGCAGCGGAGGCGACGACCGACGAGGGAGGGGAGGGGAGAGGGAGGGGCAAACTCACATGGGGAAGAAGAAGAGCCCGGGCGCGCGCGCGATATCGGGGGACTCGGAGGGGGCGGAGGCGATATTTTTTCTGCCTGCGCCTTGTCTGTTGTCTCCCTCCGGTTTTGGTTGGTGCTGCTGGACTGACTGCTGGTGCCGGTCCTCCCTCTGCTTCCCCTTCCGTGGCTTCCTTCGCTGCACTTTCCTCGTCGCCTCTCCCGTCCTCCACTGATAATTCATCCCCCCTTCGTCCTCCGTTTCTTTATTTTTTATTAAATCGTTTGGGTCTGACCGTATTGCCCTCGGAAAGATGGGTTTTGTTTGCTGATGAGGGAGGGCGTGGCTGCCGTGCCGGTGCCTGACCAAGCGTCCATGCTTTTGGGTTTTGACCAGGCCTTGCCTGCCATGCTCCGATTTTCTTTGGAGATGTGGATGGATGGGGTTAGGATTAGTAGGAGGGTTTCACACATCATTGGAACCACCGATCTACTTTTTATTTTATATACTATGGAAAAAGAGTTTATGTTTTTAACATCTCAGTTTCAATTTTGTGATTAAACAGTGACGGCCTCTTCGAGTCACGGGATTTCCCAAGCGCGGGAATAGAAAAGTAGGAATATAGTTTTTTTTTAACGAAAGAGGTTTCCCTCCAATTTCATTAACGAAACCACATCGACCACAAACCACGGGCACTCCCGTCCAGTCATTGGGTTCGAAAAGATAACAACCTTAATCTAAGCTAAAGACCACTAGCTGCGGAGGGAAAACAAAAGACATGACATGCATCGCTTACACCAGTACAGTTATTTAAACTTCTACAAGTTATCAAGATTACATGACGAAAACAGAGGGAAGGAGAGAAGATTCATCATCTTCCCAGTCGCTGAACTCTAGGTCTCCATCCCTGTGCCGCCTTGTATATCTCACTTGCCACCCGCTCGATTAGTTTTGCTCCCAGCTGCGGTAGTTTTTGTTCCGGCTTTTTTATCTACAAAACCGACCAATCAGCAATCCAATTGCACATAATTCAGATGAATATCATGGGATCATATATCTTTCTAGATCTGAAAATAATATCATTTCTGCATTTCCTGGGAGCCCAAAATACAACAGCGCTTCCCACCAGAACTAGTTTTTTCTCAAGTTTTTTAAAGATTTTCAACCACCTACCCAAGTAATCATTTGAGTTTATTGGGGTTGTTCTAAGGTCCAGAGCACATTTGATCAAACTCCAGACCAATCTAGCCGCTGAGCATTCAAAGAACAAATGATCAATGTTCTCTTCTCGCCCACAATATACACACTCTTTTCCTCCCTTCCATCCTTTCTTGATCAAATTGTCTTTGGTAAAAATGCTTCTTCTTGTAAACAGCCAAAGGAACATTTTAATCTTGGCTGGGATTTTAATTTTCCACAGGAATTTGTGTGGGAATCCCACACCATCATTGATCAGGAATGAGTATAAAGACTTAACCGAAAATTTTCTGTTTTCAGTGAGCATCCAGAGGGGTTGATCTTTCCCCCCATGCATCCTCACCTCCTCGCATCTTGTTTTTAGGCTATTCCAGAGTTCTATCGTTTCTCCTGTCAAGGTTCGTCTGAAGCTAAATCCCTGCCAGCCTCTGTTAATAGCTTCTGCCACTGAGATATTATGGTCAAAGCTAATGTTGTATAGTCTAGGGTATAGATCTTTTAGGGGTTTAGATCCCACCCACCAATCTTCCTAGAATCTAGTCTCAATCTTGAAACTCACATTAAGCAAGCAAATTGGTCTGAATTTCTGTATTTGTTTGGCATCTTTAACCTTGGGAACTAATGTAATAATTCCATAATTCAACCTAGAAATATCTAGATTTCCGGAATGGAAGTCATCAAGTAGGCCCTTAAGGTCCCATTTAATTAATTCCCAGAAATTCTGGTAAAATTCTACAAGTAGACCATCTGGACCAGGGTTTTTGTTTTTGTCCATATTGAACACCACCTCCTGCAACTCTTACATACTGAAGGGCTCAATCAAAGTTCTAGCTTGTTCTTCTGAGATGCCAGGAGCATCTTGGATGTTTAAATTCACAGTAGAGTTTTCAGGTTGACCAAATAGGTCTTTATAAAAATTTGTGATGTATTTAACCAGTTCCTCACCCCCTTCAATCTCACCTTCAGCTTGGCTTAGAGAAAATATTCTATTTTTCCTCCTCCCCCCCACTTTGGCATGGTAATACTTGGTGTTGTTATCCCCATCTCTGGTCTCTCTATCTTTATATCTTTGCAACCATTTTAGTTCTTCTTGTTTCATCGGTCTCCCTAATTGAGCTCTCAATTCTTTTTGTTCATTTCTATCCCATGCAGATAGCCCCAGTACCTCTGCTCTTTTATCAATATCATCTAGTTTGCATAGTAGTTCTTTTTTTTGTATAGTGCATCTGAGTTTAGGATCCATCCCCTTACTTTTTGTCTAAACAATGTAGGAATAGAGTGGCATGGCATCATCAGTACTACGGGCTTGTGAGGATGTTTGATTGTGCACTGAAAAAACAAAGGATTCTTTCAAAAAAGTTGAAGTGGATGAAAAGTTTGCTACTCCCTCTCAACCATACTAACTGCCGTTGATCCAATACGAAGAATACTAAGGAAAAATTCATATGGTTTGCGATGATACGAAACAAACAACCCATACAGGCAAAAGAAATCCTAAGGATTGGAATCCTCCAAAATTCCTTTGAATAAGTTTTATTACTACAACCAACAACCTCAAAGACATCACCATCAACACCTAGTGAGATGCCTCCAACAATACTAACATCAGGCAATAAGTGACGATAGTAATTCATGTGACCAACAGTACTATGAAGGAAACCATAGGCAATGATTTCACGATTGGTTTCTTGAAATCCAATAAAATCAAGTTTCTATATAGTAATTAAGTATGTGAGGCGTTGTGTTTGGCCATCTTGACCTAAACCACGTATGTTTCAAAACATTCCTGTCATGATATCTTAAAGGGGTGAGACGGATCACAAGGCCGTGACTTAGCTGCATTATCTGGCAAAAGTATAGAATTAAAAGTGCCCCCTGATCTATATTTAGCAAAAATGCAAACAACAAGAGTACAAACTCCAGTCTCAGAAAAACTATCATCATCAAGCACATTTGGTAAAGATATCTTCGGGTTTTGAGTAGAAAAATCTGGACAACTTAGTTTTTCTAAAGTGACCATGTTACTAATGATTTAGTTCTATCACAAATGTTTTTACCAATAATAAAATAATATGAATGACACATGCATGATTACCCTAAGTAGAGCAAGAAAACTCAGTACATGACTTACCTTCAAAAGTAGGGGGATCTCCAAATTTTTCTTCATCTTGTAGGTACCAAGTTTAGCCATGATGTTTTCTCTCTCATGGTTCGTGGTATTAGACCTTTGTATAACCACTGGACCCCACTTGCTAGTGTTAACATAAATTTCTTCTCAAACAAGACCTCCTTCAGAGACAACTGCCATGAACATCATATGCGGCAGGTTGGGCAGATTTTCCAATAGACATCATTTCCAAAGCATCAAGAATGGGCCCTCAAATACTCTCATTTCATCTTCCAAATAAACTTCATTCACATCAATTTCGGACCCAGAATCACCCACATGCTTGAGGATCGCAGAGCGGTTTACTTTCTGGATGGACACAAGGGAATCAACCACATTATGAGCAGTTTCAACCTGAAGAGGGGGTTTTGTACCCTTGTTGGGGTCAAAACACATCTTCTGGTCCAATTCCAATTCAGCCATAGTGTTAAAAACAACACTATGTGTAACAAGCTCAGGAGCAACAGGAACCATCCCAACATTAGCAATAACATGTTGAGAAGTAAAAACTTCAGAAAAAAGGCAGGGTGAAATTCCACACCTGCCCAAGTTGTTTTCCAGTTGGGTCATCTCTCCTACTAGTTGTGTCAAGTTCATCTATGGGTTCATCATCATCTTTCAATAAGTCTTTGTCAACTGAATCATCACCCAAAGCTTCAAGATTTCCAAACTCAATATCATCAGGACCAATATCATAATTAGGATCATCTCCTCCCATTTGTTCAAAACATTCTACAGTATAGAAAATAGTTACAGCCTCCTTTTCATTTCAAGAAGCCTCTCAAAAGCAATTTTAGCTGGATCGCTGCAAGTAATGTTGATCCTAACACACTAGCATAAAATCTCTTCATAAGGTCATTCCAATCCACAAGGATGCCCAAAATAGGAGATAATTTGAGCCAACACTTTCCAAGAATGCCATTTGGTGGGTAACTCCTCAATCTTAATTAACCCAAGCCTCAATTTTCTCAACAAAGTATCAATACTGCTAGTCCATTCAGTCACATTAACACAGACGCCATTCATGAAGATCAAAAGTTGAAACTCAATAATCCTTGTAATTTTCTCAACGAGGAAATCTAAGAAAAAAGATTTGGGCTTGATAACTCTAATCTGCCAAGGCCACTATTTATTCTTGCAGAAAATGCTAGACAAATTTATAAGTAAATACTCTTGAGATATCCCACCTTTGACAACATAGATTCTAGAATTGAGCCACTTAGCTTCGTCTCTCACTAGAACGTTTGTAGGATAAGCATAACCTGAGAGCAGAACTACAAAAATATGTAGCAACATGGTGAAGTTGAGTCCAAGCAGCGTAGATGTTAACATTGTGACCTTCTTGATTACAGATAAAGCATGTTTTTGGCTTGATGCAATTATCAACATAATGGCCTGGATCTCCACAACTAAATCACGCCATGTATATGTATCTGGGGTCGTGTACCTGCTCTCCCAGTTCTGGATTTTTAGTAGCAATAGTAGGGCGAGGAAGTTTATGATGCGATGGAGCCAAACGAGTTCCTGCCACGGCCTCGACAACCATCTGTTGCG